CAGCTGGGTGGGGGGGAGGGGGGGCGCCGGCTGCGCCGGGGGCACCTTCAGGCTCTCCGGGGCCGGCGTCGCGCTGGGGACGGAGGCCAGGGCCACCGAGGAGGAGGAGGAGGAGGAGGAGGAGGATGAAGAGGAGGAGGAGGAGGAGGAAGAGCAGGAGGAGAGGTTCTGCGAGCGGGAGGAGGAGACGTACTCATCTGGAAGGGAAACACCAGGTCAGGCGTTAGCGCCAGCACGCAACGCTACCCCTCGGTTCACTTTTATTAAAAGAAATAAAATTATCATTATAATACTCTTTCTGCGATATTCGTACTTCGGTAATTTGCCCACATGGGGCTTTTCTTTCCCCCTCTTCCCTCGGAGGACTCCCACCCTCTACCGCCCCAACGCCGCCGCGCTTTGCCCCGATTCAGACTTTGGCCGCTGCGATGTTTAAGACAGATGTTTAAGAGGCTGCAGTGAGTACCGCTCACTCCTCTTTTCAACGGTTTTTCCCCCAAAATCCCCCCTCCCCGGCCACTATCCCGCCTGAGCTCCCAAGAGGAGGAAAACCTCCCCAGACTGCGGCTGTGGGTGTAAAAGGGGGACGCGCGACCGGAATTACGCGTCTCCCACCTGGTTTCTCCTTCGCCAACTGCTTGTCGAGGGCCAACATGGTCTTCTCTTCCTGTATGAACATGCGGTCGATCATCACCATCTCCGCCGAAGGGCTGACTCTCTGAGGAGGAGGAAGAGGAGGGAAGGAGGAGGAGGAGGAGGAAAGGAGGAGGAAGAGGAGGAGGAAGAGGAGACGGAGAACAGGAGGAGGAGGAGGAGGAGAAGAAGGAGGAGGAGGAGGAGGAAGAGGAGGAGGAGGAGGAAGAGGAAGAGAGGAGAGGAAGAACAAGAAGAGAAGGAGAAGGAGAAGGAGAAGGAGAAGGAGAAGGAGAAGGAGAAGGAGAAGGAGAAGGAGAAGGAGAAGGAGAAGGAGAAGGAGAAGGAGAAGGAGAAGGAGAAGGAGAAGGAGAAGGAGAAGGAGAAGGAGAAGGAGAAGGAGAAGGAGAAGGAGAAGGAGAAGGAGAAGGAGAAGGAGAAGGAGAAGGAGAAGGAGAAGGAGAAGGAGAAGGAGAAGGAGAAGGAGAAGGAGAAGGAGAAGGAGAAGGAGAAGGAGAAGGAGAAGGAGAAGGAGAAGGAGAAGGAGAAGGAGAAGGAGAAGGAGAAGGAGAAGGAGAAGGAGAAGGAGAAGGAGAAGGAGAAGGAGAAGGAGAAGGAGAAGGAGAAGGAGAAGGAGAAGGAGAAGGAGAAGGAGAAGGAGAAGGAGAAGGAGAAGGAGAAGGAGAAGGAGAAGGAGAAGGAGAAGGAGAAGGAGAAGGAGAAGGAGAAGGAGAAGGAGAAGGAGAAGGAGAAGGAGAAGGAGAAGGAGAAGGAGAAGGAGAAGGAGAAGGAGAAGGAGAAGGAGAAGGAGAAGGAGAAGGAGAAGGAGAAGGAGAAGGAGAAGGAGAAGGAGAAGGAGAAGGAGAAGGAGAAGGAGAAGGAGAAGGAGAAGGAGAAGGAGAAGGAGAAGGAGAAGGAGAAGGAGAAGGAGAAGGAGAAGGAGAAGGAGAAGGAGAAGGAGAAGGAGAAGGAGAAGGAGAAGGAGAAGGAGAAGGAGAAGGAGAAGGAGAAGGAGAAGGAGAAGGAGAAGGAGAAGGAGAAGGAGAAGGAGAAGGAGAAGGAGAAGGAGAAGGAGAAGGAGAAGGAGAAGGAGAAGGAGAAGGAGAAGGAGAAGGAGAAGGAGAAGGAGAAGGAGAAGGAGAAGGAGAAGGAGAAGGAGAAGGAGAAGGAGAAGGAGAAGGAGAAGGAGAAGGAGAAGCGTTTCAGCCGCTGCGTCGACACCACCTCGAACTCCTCGTCCACTGCGAGGGAGAGGAGGGTGGGGAGAAAAGAGAGAGTCTGTGTCACACACACGGGGTGGGGGGACACACACACACACACGGCGGCAACGGATCCGTAGTTTTGTCAGCGGAGTCGGGGAGGCCCCCGAATGAGCGTTAATTTGGAATCGCTGCGATGGTTTTTATCGTTTCGCAAAAAATGCGGAAAGAGCGCGACGAAGCTTTGGGCCACTCCAGCTCAGAAACCCGGGAAAACCGCACATCTTGGGAACTTATGTTTTTCCTAGAGACGGCGGCGCTCTGGTTTTATTGTGGGGCTAAAAAACTCCTTTTTTTTTTTTTGGTTCAAAGCCCTCTGAGGCTCGCGGGGGGCTGCGGGGGGGAGGACTCACCCTTGCGGTAGTCCTGGGCGGAGGGCAGCATCCCCTGGTAGACGTGGTAGGGCAGGAGGCGCTGCAAAGCGTCGTCGAAGGAACGGAACGACGTCTTGTAGTCGGGATGCAGCACCGCGCCCTGGTGCTTGTGCAGCTGCTCCAGGAAACTGGAGGGAAGGAGAAGAAAGGGGGGGTGTGGGGTGTGTGGGGGTGTGTGTGTGTGTTTGCCAAGCAAAATTCCCCGTTTCCAGCGCGAACGGTAAATACAGGCCGGAAAAGGAGGGTTTGAGTTTCGGCGAGGCACTCACCAAGCTTCCTTGCTGGGTTGTAGCGTCGGGGCTTTCTTCAGAGCCAGTTTGCTGTCGTACTGGTGGGGAAATGAGAGGAGAGAGGGGTGAGAAGGGAGAGAAAGGAGAGAAAGAGTTTGCCAAGCAAAATTCCCCGTTTCCAGCGCGAACGGTAAATACAGGCCGGAAAAGGAGGGTTTGAGTTTCGGCGAGGCACTCACCAAGCTTCCTTGCTGGGTTGTAGCGTCGGGGCTTTCTTCAGAGCCAGTTTGCTGTCGTACTGGTGGGGAAATGAGAGGAGAGAGGGGTGAGAAGGGAGAGAAAGGAGAGAAAGAAGGGGGAGAGAAAGAAGGGGGAGAGAAAGAAGGGGAGAGAAAGAAGGGGAGAGAAAGAAGGGGGAGAGAAAGAAGGGGGAGAGAAAGAAGGAGAGAAGGGAGCCAGCCCGCGCACGGAGAGAGGGGGAAATTCCCCCTCTTGGGAGGGAACGGAGACGCGGGAGGGAAACGGCGGCGACGGCGGAGAGAAGACAAACGGAGGGCAGGGTCTGTGCGCCGCGAGCTCACCAGCGGCTGGCCTTGCACGGGGCCCGAGGGCACGAGCTGCGGTAATCCTTTCCCCACCACCTGGATCTGCAGGGGACCCTTGGCCAGGTTCAGGCCCGAGACGGAACTGATCACGCCGGGCTTCGTCTGGGGAAGAGACGGCACCGAACGGCTCGAATGGAACAGCCCCGAGTGCAAGACGTGTTTCTGCACAAGTTTACGACGTGTTTTTGCACAGAACCAGAATTACTCTAGTCAGCACTTCCAGAAATCCACACCGACTACACTGACGCGCCACTACATCGGCGGCAAGCAATCGATTCTCCTGAAGAAGAGGAACAAAAGTCCCTCCTTCTCCCAGAGTTTCAGTGATGGATCATTTTGTATCACCTTTAGAGCTTCGCAGCGCTTTAAAAGTGGGGAAAAAAGAACTTCTGGGAACAAATTCTTCCTTTTTGATAAAACGGAGGGGAACGCCGACAGATTTGTTTACTCTCAAGGTGGAAAACTCTGAAATAAAACGGCAAAATCACGGAAAAGCTCTTCCTCACCTGAACCGGCTGCTGTACGGCCAGAGGCGTTCCCGACTTCCCCTGGGCTGCAGCCCCTTTCCCGGCCGAAATCGGCGTGGAAACGCCGGAGAAGGTTTTACTCTCCGCAGGAACCGGGGCGGTAATACCTGGCAAACGGAAACCAGAGGGAAAGGTTCGTTTTTTAAGTTCAAGCTTAGGTGATAAACAACGACCGCCCGGATTGCCCCGGCACGTCTCATCCCCACGGAGCGAGCTTTATCTGAAAAACCGAGCGCGAAAAGAAGGGGGAGAGAAAGAAGGGGGAGAGAAAGAAGGGGAGAGGAAGAAGGGGGAGAGAAAGAAGGGGGAGAGAAAGAAGGGGGAGAGAAAGAAGGAGAGAAGGGAGCCAGCCCGCGCACGGAGAGAGGGGGAAATTCCCCCTCTTGGGAGGGAACGGAGACGCGGGAGGGAAACGGCGGCGACGGTGGAGAGAAGACAAACGGAGGGCAGGGTCTGAGCGCCGCGAGCTCACCAGCGGCTGGCCTTGCACGGGGCCCGAGGGCACGAGCTGCGGTAATCCTTTCCCCACCACCTGGATCTGCAGGGGACCCTTGGCCAGGTTCAGGCCCGAGACGGAACTGATCACGCCGGGCTTCGTCTGGGGAAGAGACGGCACCGAACGGCTCGAATGGAACAGCCCCGAGTGCAAGACGTGTTTCTGCACAAGTTTACGACGTGTTTTTGCACAGAACCAGAATTACTCTAGTCAGCACTTCCAGAAATCCACACCGACTACACTGACGCGCCACTACATCGGCGGCAAGCAATCGATTCTCCTGAAGAAGAGGAACAAAAGTCCCTCCTTCTCCCAGAGTTTCAGTGATGGATCATTTTGTATCACCTTTAGAGCTTCGCAGCGCTTTAAAAGTGGGGAAAAAAGAACTTCTGGGAACAAATTCTTCCTTTTTGATAAAACGGAGGGGAACGCCGACAGATTTGTTTACTCTCAAGGTGGAAAACTCTGAAATAAAACGGCAAAATCACGGAAAAGCTCTTCCTCACCTGAACCGGCTGCTGTACGGCCAGAGGCGTTCCCGACTTCCCCTGGGCTGCAGCCCCTTTCCCGGCCGAAATCGGCGTGGAAACGCCGGAGAAGGTTTTACTCTCCGCAGGAACCGGGGCGGTAATACCTGGCAAACGGAAACCAGAGGGAAAGGTTCGTTTTTTAAGTTCAAGCTTAGGTGATAAACAACGACCTCCCGGATTCTCCCGGCACGTCTCATCCCCACGGAGCGAGCTTTATCTGAAAAACCGAGCGCGAAGGAGCAGCGGAGTTTGCCGTGGGGACAGCCTGCACCCCACCGCCTTCGCCTCGCGCGCCGACAGCGCCCCACTTCTCCCAAAACAAGGGCGCCGGCACGCTCCTCTACCACGATGCTCCTTTGCCGGGATGCCCGTGCACCGGGATGCTCACGTGCCGGGATCCTCGCGGTTTGGGATGCCCATGAGTTGAGACGCCCGTGATTTGGGATCCTCGTGGTTTGGGATGGACTTGTGCCAGGATCCTCGTGGTTTGGGATACCCGTGGTTTGGGATCCTCGTGGTTTGGGATGCCCTTGTGCCGGGACGCCCATCGTTTGGGATGCCCGTGGTTTGGGATGCCCATATGCCAGGACACCCATCGTTTGGGATGCCCGTGGTTTGGGATGGCCTTCTGCCGGGATCCTCATGGTTTGGGATGCCCATAGTTTGGGATCATCATGGTTTGGGATACGTGTATGCCATGACACCCATCGTTTGGGATCCTCATGGTTTGGGATACCCGTGTGCCGGGATCCTCGCGGTTTGGGATGCCCATGTGTTGGGATCCTCATGGTTTGGGACGCCCTTGTGTTGGGATCCTCTTGGTTTAGGATGCCCGTGTGCCAGGACACCCGTGATTTGGGATGCCCGTGTGCTGGGATGGTCGTGGTTTGGGATACCCGTACACCAGGACACCCATCGTTTGGGACACCCATGGTTTGGGATGCCCGTGGTTTGGGATCCTTGTGGTTTGGGATGCCCGTATGCCAGGACACCCATTGTTTGGGATGCCCGTGGTTTGGGATGGCCTTCTGCCGGGATCCTCGCGGTTTGGGATGCCCATAGTTTGGGATCCTCGTGGTTTGGGATACCCGTATGCCACCACACCCATCGTTTGGGATCCTCGTGGTTTGGGATGTCCTTGTGCCGGGACGCCCATCGTTTGGGACGCCTGTGATTTGGGATGCCCGTGGTTTTGGGATCCTCACGGTTTAGGGGTGCCCACGTCCCGGCACGCCCACATTCCGGGATGCCCTCCCGTGTTTTTCCCCGCCCGAGAGTGGGAGCCGTGGGCACGAACCTGCGGTGGAAGGCGGGAGGGCGGCGGGCGCGTGGCTGTGCGCGGGGGCCGGCGTGGTGGTCACCGTCACCGGCTGTCCCTGGCCGCTCACCAGGACGGAGGAGGACGGGCTGCTGAACTGGGTGAGCGCGGGGGAAGCCTGGCTGGTGGCAGGCTGCTGCTTGGTTTGCAGGATGATCCCCTGGGGCACCTGCGGGGGATTAAAAACAACAACAACAACCACAAAAAAACAACCCAGAAGTTGAAAACGGGCCCCAAACCCATCGCTTCGGCACCGGCGAGCGCTGAGAGGTTCGGCAGCAACGCGGGAGGA